ACTCCACACGGAAGAGAGAGCTGTTCCAAAACCTTCTGTTTCTCCATTCTTAAACTGACATTTATGTTATTCCCATAAACATTTCTCTTTTTGAAAAGCATGTTTTATCTGGGAATTGCTTCTGCAAATATCAGAATGCCTTTGCCAATAAAAATTGTTGTGTTTTTCTTCTGTTTCTATATGTTATACATTTGTCACTTTAAGGCTGCCATGTTAAACACCCTGTAAGTATATGCTGGTGCATTGTTTAAGATATTTAACTACTGCTATTCTGGCAAACCTTTACAATGTGGTTTACATGAAGATACTAAACAACAAATTTCAGCGTGAGCTTGCCAAGACAAACTACCTGGGGAGAGTCTAGACCTCTCTTCTTTCCTCAGGGCCAGGTGGTTCTGGAATAGCTCTGTGGTGCTGCTGGCTGGGGAAGTGGAGGTCTCAGTTGGAGCACAGGATTGAGACTGCAGAGTAGTGTGGAATTTGAAACCCATTTAGCACGACACTTTGTGTTAACATGCCGTGAACAAGGGTATTCATAACATGGGAGAATGGCTATATCAAACCTAGGGCCCGTTCAGTGTTTCCTTCTCAGTCACAGTCAGTCAGTCAGTCACAAAGTGTGAGTTCAGCATGATAATGTATGGTTGTCACACATCTGGAATTTCCCAGACATAGCTGGGATTCAATCATTGGAAACTGTGTCTGGGCAGAAATCCCTGAAATGCCTTTGGGCAAGACTAAAAAAAGCTCAACAACTTTTGTGTCCAGATTTTGAAATATAGCAACCCTACAATAATGATACTCTCCTGCTTTTGTCCCCCTGTGGGAAGCCTCTTTAATCTTGCAATCACTTCCCACAGTCGCCAGTCACAGCATGGTGCAGCAGAGGCGGAGGCCACAGGGCGGTTGCTGCCTCAATACAGCTATGCGCTCCCTTCACTGGCCTCAGCTCAAAATGGCTTCTCCAGGCGAACCAGGAAGTGACCTCTCCAGACAATGGAACTACTCTTCTTATCTCTGTCACTGCAATCTCCTGGTTGACGTGGACGCCGTTAGGCAGCTGAATGCGCATGCATACTCCATCTGTTTCCCTCCCACCCACCGCTCTAGGCAGACCCGGATGCTAGCAACCTACGCTACGCCACTGCAGCCACGTGCCGAAAGCATGATTTCTGCACAATAAACATTCCTAGCCATGGTGGCTATGCTCTGGAAGCAGTATATGTTTCTGAGTACCAGCTTCTGGTAGCTGAAGGAGAGGAGAGTGCTCTTGCGCTCAGGTCTTCCTTGCAGGATTCCTGTTGGGAAATCAAGTTGGTCACTGAGAACAGGATGCGGGACTAGACAGGTCAGCGGCCGGATCCAGCAGGCTCTTCGCATGTTCTTTGGTCTGTGTTCTCCACAAACAGTTATGCAGAGATGTACCTCCTTGGCAACAAGAGGCAACATGGAGCCCTCGTCACTCGGAATTTTTATTAATTTTTTTGTTTTACAATTTAGAATATTCATTTATACAAGCTTAAAATATCAGTGATTTCCCTTCTCCTCTTTCCATGGTTCATTTTACATAGCATAAATCCCTGCATATTTTATATAAACTAAACCATTCAGTATTTCATTATTACTTCCATCAAAACTTATTTACGCGGTTGAATTTATCTTAATGCTGCCAATGTTTTCAAATACACTCAAGTCCCCCCCCCCCACACACATATTCAATGAACATTCTCCAATCTTCTTTAAACAAATGTTCCTGTTGATCTCTTATTCTATATGTTAAGTCTACAAGCTGCACATATTCCATCAGTTTAAGTTGCCATTCTTCTTTAGTTGGGACCTTGCTCATTTTCCATTTTTCGGCTAACAAAACACAGGCCACAGTAGTGGCATACATAAATAACCTTTTTTGACACCTGGGAATTTCCATCTGAATTATCCCCAACGAAAAGGACTCTTGTTTTTGGGGGAAAGTACTTATAACCATCCCGCCCCCCCAATTCATTGTAAATTATTATCCAATACTCTTTTACCCTCATCGCATCTCCAACACTTATCTGATTCAGTCTTATACATCTTAGCAAGCCTACTTGGAGTTAAATACCATCACTGAATGACTGAATTCTTGATAGACCCATTCATGTAGGATACAGGTGCTTCCCTTTTGATGCTAGCCATTCCTATATTGCATGATAGCGAATTCTGTATTTCTACACTGCACATATCATAAAATACCAATGTGGTGGACAATGCTAAATACACCATTTAAAAAACCATAGAGGCAAATGTTCAGGCATGCCAACTAGAATAAAATCTATTGTGGGGGCCAAAGCGACCTCAGCCCCTAGGAGTACTTTTAGCTCAGTATACGTTTGCCACCTCAGTCTGTTTTGAGAATTTGTTTTGAGACGGAGCAATACTACTCATTGTAGCACATCCTGTGTTACAGAATTCTCTGCTGCAAAATGTTTTGGTGGCCATTGGCTTAAACAGCTTCAAGGGGGGATATTTAAATTCCTGGAGGATAAGAGGTAATAACCTTAATAGCTCAATAGTACCACCATTTATAGTGGGACGCAGGTGGCGCTGTGGTCTAAACCACTGAGTCTCTGGGCTTGCTGATCAGAAGGCTGGCGGTTTGAATCCCCGCAATGGGGTGAGCTCCTGTTTTTCGGTCCCAGCTCCTGCCAACCTAGCAGTTCGAAAGCACGACAAAAGTGCAAGTACATAAATAGGAACCACTCCGGCGGGAAGGTCAACGGCGTTTCCGTGCGCTGCTCTGGTTTTGCCAGAAGCGGCTTAGTCATGCTGGCCACATGACCCGGAAAAACTGTCTGTGGACAAATGCCGGTTCCCTTGGCCAGTAGAAGAAAAAGAAGAAGAGGAGTTTGGATTTGATATCCTGCTTTATCACTACCCGAAAGAGTCTCAAAGTGGCTAACATTCTCCTTTCCCTTCCTCCCCACAACAAACATTCTGTGAGGTGAGTAGGGCTGAGAGACTTCAGAGAAGTGTGACTGGCCCAAGGTCACCCAGCAGCTGCATGTGGAGGAGTGGAGATGCGAACCCGGTTCACCAGATTACGAGTCTACTGCTCTTAACCACTACACCACACTGGCTCTCAGTAAAGCGAGATGAGCGCCACAACCCCAGAGTCATTGGCAACTGGACTTAACTGTCAGGAGTCCTTTACCTTTACTTTTTTTTACCACCAATTTTTCAATAGCAGATGCTGAAGACATGGGATGCTAAACTTGATGGATTTCATATTTTATTTTTATTTTTTAATGTTCCTATGTTGGCAATATATGAAAATAAATTCAATTTTAAGTTTTAAAAAAGAATAGGAAGGCTATAACTCAAAGTACAAGAGGAAAGAGTCTTTCTCTCTCAGCTGCCATGTTGCTCTTCCTGGATCAGTTTTCCTCTCTATGAACTTCAATTCCCAGCAGACTTTGCAAACAAAGAGCAGCTGGCCTCATTTACCTGAGCATGTGCACAGCTGGGGGAGAGTAATTCTGGGATGCAAGAGGCGAGTCATAAATTCAGCACCACCTATCTAGAGCTCAAGAAAAAACATAATGGTTCCCATTTCTGCTCTGCTTCCTGGGTGCTGACATCCTAGCTTTTAATCTTCCACCCCCAGAGTGAGTGCTGCATTGGGGCTGGATAGTAGACCCATTTTCCTTTCTACTTTCCTGGGTGAGTTAAAGGGATTCTTTCATTTCTTCAGAGGAGGATGGAAGCTGAATCTGGGAGGTGCCTAGTGGTGGCAGTGGAATTTGGTGAGGAAAGTGTTGTTGCAACAGGCAACAGAATTTAGTTCATACCCACTATATTGAGAAGAAAAAGCCACTAAGTTCTGCCCTAAATTGTGGTAGATCTTAATTACTGCTGGTTGCTTGCAAACTGTATAGAAAAAATACATGCAGACATGGGGTTCATGGGACGTGGGTGGTGCTGTGGTCTAAACCACAGAGCCTCTTGGGCTTGCTGATCGGAAGGTCGGTGGTTCGAATCCCCCACGATGGGGTGAGCTCCCGTTGCTCTGTCCCAGCTCCTGCCAACTTAGTAGTTTGAAAGCATGCCAGTGCAAGTAGATAAATAGGTACCGCTGTGGCGGGAAGGTAAACAGACTTTCCATGCGCTCTGGTTTCCATCACGGTGTTCCATTGTGCCAGAAGCAGTTTAGTCCTGCTGGCCACATGACCTGGAAAGCTGTCTGTGGACAAACACAGTCTCCCTAGGCCTGAAAGCGAGATGAGCGCCACAACCCCATAGTTGCCTTTGACTGGACTTAACCGTCCTGGAGTCCTTTACTCCCCCCCCCACAATGGTTTAGCATTTGGAGGAAGCCTGTTTCACATGAGGCCCTTCCTCATAGTGCTCTAGGTGTGGGAATCTCCCTAATATCTTTGGTGTCTCTGCTACATATCCCATATTCTCTTACAGAGTTGGGAGACCTGTATCTGTGACCCATGGGGGACCAATTACACATGCGACCTGAATTGGATCAAGCTCTGGATGACATTGATGAAGTGATACTCCTGGAACTCGTTAATGAAGTGATACACTCTTTACAGGTGAAATAATCAAGAACTAAAGGCCAATGGCCCATCTAGTCCAGCATCCTGGTCTCCCAGTGGCCAAACAGGGGCAAATAACATCTAGGTACAAGAGCCCTCTCCTCTTCTTTGGTCTCTCCACACTCGTATTAAGAAAAAAATAGTACCTCTTAAGTGTGGAAGCAGGGGATAGCCATCATGGCTAGTAGTCATTGATAGACTTCTCCATGAATATTTTCAAGCCATCCAAGTTGGTGGCCGTTTAGTTCACAATCGCTAGTGTGCCACCAGGGTGGTGGTGGGGCCAGGGGTTGAGTTCCCTGTCCCTCTTGTGCTTGAGAAGGGGATGTGCAGGCCACAATAGATTAGATAAGGTTGCCTCTTCCATATGGTCTGTCTAGTCTTCAGCCTATTCTTCAGCAAGGGACTCCACATGTGATGTATTCAGGGTCTGGCGGTCCTGGGGAGCCCTGGGGGCGCCCGTCTCAAAATAGCTACCATGGTGGGTGGGACAAGCAAGAACTTTTAGGGGGTGTTAATATTGTGAGCCCCTCCATCAGAGGCGCAGGTTGCATAGATGTGTAAATAAACCATCTATCATCAAGATACCACAGTCTCAGCTGTCCCTCATTCTGAGGAAACCAAACCCTCAGTAAGTGCCTGGAACCCCTTGAATACCACACTACCGTGAGATGGGGTAGTGTGTAATAAATGGGCATACTTTAAATGTGTGGTGTGTAAACAAACACAGCCCTAAATTCTCACTTGCAGAGGGAGGGTGAAATATAAAGATGATGGGGGCAGTTGCTCCAGCTTGAACAATAGGTTCCTATTAAAATGATTCCTTTCTTTTGTTTCTGGTGATATTGGAGGTGAGGGAGGCGGCTGCAAATTTCTTCACTGCAGGCCATGCTCCATCTTCAGTTGAGCAGAGGCAGCTGCAGAATGAAACCCAGGAGGAAGATGATGATGATGATTGGGAGGCGGCTGCAAATTTCCTCACTGTAGGCCAGGCTCCATCTTCAGTTGAGCAGAGGCAGCTGCAGAATGAAACCCAGGAGGAAGATGAAGATGATGATGATGATTGGGAGGCGGCTGCAAATTTCTTCACTGCAGGCCATGCGCCATCTTCAGTTGAGCAGAGGCAGTTGCAGAATGAAACCCAGGAGGAAGAGGATGATGATGATTGGGAGGCGGCTGCAAATTTCCTCACTGCAGGCCAGGCTCCATCTTCAGTTGAGCAGAGGCACCTGCAGAATGAAACCCAGGAGGAAGATGAAGATGATGATGATGATTGGGAGGCGGCTGCAAATTTCTTCACTGCAGGCCATGCGCCATCTTCAGTTGAGCAGAGGCAGTTGCAGAATGAAACCCAGGAGGAAGAGGATGATGATGATTGGGAGGCGGCTGCAAATTTCCTCACTGCAGGCCAGGCTCCATCTTCAGTTGAGCAGAGGCAGCTGCAGAATGAAACCCAGGAGGAAGAGGATGATGGAGAGGGCAGGATTTGGGGTAAGTTCAGACTCCCCCCTATCCTGCTATACGTGCCAAACCCACCTACCCCTTTGCCCATCCTTCTCCTTTGCTGACCCATAAAGTATTTCTCGCCTTTATTTCAGCAGGTGATACGCAGGTAACTGAGAAAGAAGGAGAATGTTATGCGGTATCATCAACGGGACCTGAGCACAAAGAGATGAACGGGAACGGTATACAGGAAACTCAGCTGGAAGAGAGACCCTATCAATGCAGCCAATGTGGAAAAAGCTTCAAACACAAGTCGAACCTTTATCGACACCAAAGAGGTCACACAGGGGAGAGACCCTATATATGTAAGCAGTGTGGGAAAAGCTTTAAGCGCAACTCGTCCCTTATTGAGCATGAAAGAAGTCACACGGGAGAGAAGCCCTATAAATGTGAGGTGTGTGATAAAAGCTTCAGGTACAAGCGAAACCTTGCCCTACACCAAGTAACCCACACTAAAGAGAAGCCTTATAAATGCTCAGAATGCGGGCAGAGCTTTGGCCTAAAGAGAAGCTTGAAAGTACACCAGAGAACCCACATAGGGGAGAAGCCATACAAATGCTCAGAATGTGGCAAGAGTTACACTACTCAATCCAACCTGAAGAGCCATCAAAGAATCCACACAAAAGAAGAGCCATATAAATGCTTGGAATGTGAACAGAGCTTCAGATTTTGCACACAGCTTACCAGACACCAGAGTACCCACACAGCAGATTAACCATTCAAGTGCTCAGAGTGTGGTAAGGATTTTGATTGTAAATCGAAGCTTAATAGTCACACAAGAATACACACCAAAGAGAACCCTTATAAATGCTCAGAATGTGGGCAGAGCTTTGATCATAGCACACAGCTTACCGAACATGAGAGCATCCACAAAGGAGAGAATCCATACAAGTGCTCAGACTGTGGTAAGGAGTATAGTAGTAGATCAAAGCTTGTTAAACACCAAAAAATCCACACCAAAGAGAAGCCTCATAAGTGCTCACAATGTGAGCTGGCCTTCCAGTTCAGCACGCAGCTCATAACACATCAGAGAACACATGTAGTGGAGAGAACGTACAAATGCTCAAAATGCGACAAGGACTTTACTTCTCCGTTTGATCTCATTAAACATAACAGGATGCACATTGAAGAAGGACCTCACAAATGCTCAGAATGCGGAGAGAGCTTCAGGTGCAGCACCTCCCTTATGGCACATCAGAGAATTCATAGAGGAGAGGAGCCAGATTTTGGCCTGAGCCATGCTTCTGAACCAAGTCTTGTTGAGCATAATGTAACGCGCCCTGAAAAGAAATGTTTTGTTTGTTCCATTTGTTCCAAAACATTTGGGTGCAGCAGAAGCCTTGGGTTACATCAACTGAAGCATAAATAGGAGACATCGCAGAGCTTCTCAGGCTGAAGCAAGACCCTTTTTAAAATATCCAATTAATCAGCACAAGACAATTCCCACCAAATAACCCACAAGTGTGGGGAAAGCTTTTATGATAGTGCACTCATTTCACGTCAGTTTAACCGGCACAAGACAGCAATGGAGAGGCAGAGAAATGTTGCAAATGCTTCTGTTTCTCCATTCTTCTACTTCAGTGTACCAATCACTGGTACTTCTTTTTAAATGCATGTTTTACTTGGCACTTGCTTCAATAAGTATTTTAATGTGTTTGCTCTATTCATCAATAAATTTTGTATGTTTTTTAATCCTTTTGCTTCTCTCTTTATTACTCTTGCCCCCTGTCAAGGATGCAGTTTTAAACATACTGCTGTGATTATGAAATAATTTGTTTAATAAACAGCTTTCCTCATTGCTCATGGTTGTGGAACCTCTGGCTTGTAATGCAGTCTGTCTTCCCCAAGCCAGTCCTTTTCTTTTTTTAAAAAAAGTTCATATGTGGACAATATATAAAAATTAAATTTAAATGTTAAAAAACAACAGGTAAAGGTAAAGGGACCCCTGACCATTAGGTCCAGTCGTGACCATCTCTGGGGATGTGGCACTCATCTTGCTTTATTGGCCGAGGGAGCAGGCGTACAGCTTCTGCTTCATGTGGCCAGCATGACTAAGCCACTTCTGGTGAACCAGAGCAGCACACAGAAACGCCATTTACCTTCCCACCAGAGCGGTACCTATTTATCTACTTGAACTTTGACGTGCTTTTGAACTGCTAGGTGGGCAGGAGCAGGGACTGAGCAACGGGAGCTCACCCCATCGCGGGGATTCGAACCACTGACCTTCTGATCGGCAAGTCCTAGGCTCTGTGGTTTAACCCACAGCGCCACCCGTGTCCCTTTAAAAAACAAACAAACCAGGAAGGCTATAAATCAAAGTGCAAGAGGGGAAAGAGGGAGATAATCAAGAACTAAAGGCCAATGGCCCATCTAGTCCAGGATCCTCTTCTCCCAGTGGCCAAACAGGGGTACAAGAGCCCTCTCCTCTTCTGTGGTCTCCCCACACTCGTATTAAGAAAAAAATACTACCTCTAAGTGTGGAAGCAGGGGATAGCCATCATGGCTAGTAGTCATTGATAGACTTCTCCTCCATGAATATGTCCAAGAATATTTTCAAGCCATCCAAGTTGGTGGCCATTTAGTTCCCATTTGCTAATGTGGTGGCCATTTAGTTCCCATTTGCTAATGTGCTGCCAGGTGGTATGAGTGGGGCCAGGGGTTGAGTTCCCTGTCCCTCTAATGCTTGAGAAGGAGATGTGCAGGCCACAATAGATTAGATAAGGTTGCCTCTTCCATATGGTCTGTCTAGTCTTCAGTCTAGTCTTCAGCAAGAGACTCCACATGTGATGCCTTCAGGGTCTGGAGGTCCTGGAGAGCGCTGGGGGTGCCAGTCTCAAAATAGCTGCTATGGCGGGTGGAAGGAGCAAGACCCTTTAGGGGGCATTAATGCTGTGAGCCCCTCCATCAGAGGCTCAGGTTGCATAGATGTGTAAATAAACTATCGATCATTAAGATACCACACTCTCAGCTGTCCCTCATTTTGCGGAAACCAAACCCTCTGTAAGCTCCTGGAAACCTGGAATACCACACCATTTGGAGATTGGGTGTGTGTGCAATAAATGGGTATACTTTAAATGTGTCGTATGTAAACAAGCACATCCCTGATTTCTCACTTGTGGAATGTGAGTGAAAGATAGAGATGATGAGGGCAGTTGCTCCAGCTTGAACAATAGGCTCCTATTGAAATTATTCCTTTCTTCTGTTTTGGGGGCTGCAGAATGAAACCCAGGAGGAAGATGATGGTGATGGGGAGGCGGCTGCAAATTTCTTCACTGCAGGCCATGCTCCATCTTCAGTTGAGCAGAGGCACCTGCAGAATGAAACCCAGGAGGAAGATGATGGTGATGGGGAGGCGGCTGCAAATTTCTTCACTGCAGGCCAGGCTCCATCTTCAGTTGAGCAGAGGCACCTGCAGAATGAAACCCAGGAGGAAGATGATGGTGATGGGGAGGCGGCTGCAAATTTCTTCACTGCAGGCCAGCCTCCATCTTCAGTTGAGCAGAGGCACCTGCAGAATGAAACCCAGGAGGAAGATTATGGTGATGGGGAGGCGGTTGCAAATTTCTTCACTGCAGGCCAGGCTCCATCTTCAGTTGAGCAGAGGCAGCTGCAGAATGAAACCCAGGAGGAAGAGGATGATGGGGAGGGCAGGATTTGGGGTAAGTTCAGACTCCCCCTATCCTGCTATATGTGCCAAACCCACTCACCCCTTTGCCCTTTCCTCACACCTGACTAAAGGCCTCCTTTTATTTCTCACCCCCTTGCATATGCTGCCCCAGCTCACCTGGGCTGGCCAGCTGTTCCACATGCTTTGGTTGGCATGGCCACCTACTGGTCACCACATGAACTGCAGAGCGTGATAATACCTTACATTCTTATTTATCTAGGAAGGGAAGCAAACCTGGAATTGTGCCAATGCATTCACAATAAGTGATTTTGTTTCATAAGAAAATGAATCCCTGTCCCAGGTTATACAATAATAATAATAATAATAATTTATTATTTGTACCCCGCCCATCTGGCTGGGTTTCCCCAGCCACTCTGGGCGGCTTCCATAGAAACAAAAAATACAGTAAAATATCACAGATTAAAAGCTTCCCTGAACAGGGCTGCCTTAAGATGCCTTCTAAATGTCAGGTAGTTATTTATCGCTTTGACATCTGATGGGAGGGCGTTCCACAGGGCGGGCGCCACTACCGAGAAGGACCTCTGCCTGGTTCCCTGTAGCTTTGCTTCTCGCAATGAGGGAACCGCCAGAAGGCCCTCGGCGCTGGACCTCAGCGTCCGGGCAGAACGATGGGGGTGGAGACGCTCCTTCAGGTATACTGGGCCGAGGCCGTTTAGGGCTTTAAAGGTCAACACCAACACTTTGAATTGTGCTCGGAAACGTACTGGGAGCCAATGTAGGTCTTTCAATTAGGACTTGTGTCCTAATTGTTCTGCCAGAGCATGTTGTTTAGTCGTTTAGTCGTGTCCGACTCTTCGTGACCCCATGGACCAGAGCACGCCAGGCACTTCTGTCCTCCACTGCCTCCCGCAGTTTGATCAAACTCATGCTGGTAGCTTCAAGAACACCATCCAACCATCTCATTCTCTGTCGTCCCCTTCTCCTTGTGCCCTCCATCTTTCCCAACATCAGGGTCTTTTCCAGGGAGTCTTCTCTTCTCATGAGGTGGCCAAAGTATTGGAGCCTCAGCTTCACAACCTGTCCTTCCAGTGAGCACTCAGGGCTGATTTCCTTCAGAATGGAGAGGTTTGATCTTCTTGCAGTCAATGGGACTCTCAAGAGTCTCCTCCAGCACCATAATTCAAAAGCATCAATTCTTCGGCGATCAGCCTTCTTTATGGTCCAGCTCTCACTTCCATACATCACTACTGGGAAAACCATGGCTTTTACTATACGGACCTTTGTTGGCAAGGTGATGTCTCTGCTTTTAAGATGTTGTCTAGGTTTGCCATCGCCTTTCTCCCAAGGAGCAGGCGTCTTTTAATTTCGTGACTGCTGTCACCATCTGCAGTGATCATGGAGCCCAAGAAAGTAAAATCTCTCACTGCCTCCATTTCTTCCCCTTCTATTTGCCAGGAGGTGATGGGCCCAGTTGCCATGATCTTCGTTTTTTTGATGTTGAGCTTCAGACCATATTTTGCGCTCTCCTCTTTCACCCTCATTAAAAGGTTCTTTAATTCCTCTTCACTTTCTGCCATCAAGGTTGTGTCATCTGCATATCTGAGGTTGTTGATATTTCTTCCGGCAATCTTAATTCCGGCTTGGGATTCATCCAGCCCAGCCTTTCTCATGATGAATTCTGCATATAAGTTAAATAAGCAGGGAGACAATATGCAGCCTTGCCGTACATTTCCCAATTTTGAACCAATCAGTTGTTCCATATCCAGTTCTAACTGTAGCTTCTTGTCCCACATAGAGATTTCTCAGGAGACAGATGAGGTGATCAGGCACTCCCATTTCTTTAAGAACTTGTCATAGTTTGCTGTGGTCTACACAGTCAAAGGCTTTTGCATAGTCAATGAAGCAGAAGTAGATGTCTTTCTGGAACTCTCTAGCTTTCTCCATAATCCAGCGCATGTTTGCAATTTGGTCTCTGGTTCCTCTGCCTCTTCTAAATCCAGCTTGCACTTCTGGGAGTTCTCGGTCCACATACTGCTTGAGCCTTCCTTGTAGAATTTTAAGCATAACCTTGCTAGCATGTGAAATGAGTGAAATTGTGCGGTAGTTGGAGCATTCTTTGGCACTGCCTTTCTTTGGGATTGGGATGTAGACTGATCTTCTCCAATCCTCTGGCCACTGCTGAGTTTTCCAAACTTGCTGGCATATTGAGTGTAGCACCTTAACAGCATCATCTTTTAAAATTTTAAACAGTTCAGCTGGAATACCATCACTTCCACTGGCCTTGTTATTAGCAATGCTTTCTAAGGCCCATTTGACTTCACTCTCCAGGATGTCTGGCTCAAGGTCAGCAACCACACTACCTGGGGTGTACGAGACATCCATATCTTTCTGGTATAATTCCTCTGTGTATTCTTGCCACCTCTTCTTGATGTCTTCTGCTTCAGTTAGGTCTTTACCACTTTTGTCCTTTATTATGGTAATCTTTGTACGAAATGTTCCTTTCATATTTCCGATTTTCTTGAACAGATCTCTGGTTCTTCCCATTCTGTTGTTTTCCTCTATTTCTTTGCATTACTCGTTTAAGAAGGCCTTCTTGTCTCTCCTTGCTATTCTTTGGAAATCTGCATTCAATTTCCTGTATCTTTCACTATCTCCCTCGCATTTTGCTTGCCTTCTCTCCCCTGCTATTTGTAAGGCCTCATTGGACAGCCACTTTGCTTTCTTGCATTTCTTTTTCATTGGGATGGTTTTAGTTGCTGCCTCCTGTATAATGTTGTGAGCCTCCACCCATAGTTCTTCAGGCACTCTGTCCAGCAAATCTAAATCCTTAAACCTGTTCCTCACTTCCACTGTGTATTCATAAGGGATTTGGTTTAGATTGTATCTTACCTGTCCAGTGGTTTTTCCTACTTTCTTCAGTTTAAGCTTGAATTTTGCTATAAGAAGCTGATGATCTGAGCCACAGTCAGCTCTAGGTCTTGTTTTTGCTGACTGTATAGAGCTTCTCCATCTTTGGCTGCAGAGAATATAATCAATCTGATTTCGATGTTGCCCATCTGGTGATGTCCATGTGTAGAGTCGTCTCTTGTGTTGTTGGAAAAGCGTGTTTGTGATGACCAGCTTGTTCTCTTGACAGAACTCTATTAGCCTTTGCCCTGCTCCGTTTTGATCTCCAAGGCCAAACTTGCCAGTTGTTCCTTTTATCTCTTGACTCCCTACTTTAGCATTCCAATCCCCTATAATGAGAAGAACATCCTTCTTTGGTGTCACTTCTATAAGGTCTTGTAAGTCTTCATAAAATTGGTCAATTTCAGTTTCTTCAGCACCAGTAGTTGGTGCATAAACTTGGATTACTGTGGTGTTAAAAGGTCTGCCTTGGATTCGTATCGAGATAATTCTATCATTTTTGAGACTGCATCCCAGTACAGCTTTCGCCACTCTTTTGTTGACTATGAGGGCCACTCCATTTGTTTTACGGGTTTCTTGCCCACAGTAGTAGATATGATAGTCATCCGAACTGAATTCGCCCATTCCCGTCCATTTTAGCTCACTGATGCCCAGGATGTCAATATTTATTCTTGCCATCTCATTTTTGATCACATCCATCTTACCCAGGTTCATGGTTCTTACATTCCAGGTTCCTATGCAATATTTTTCTTTACAGCATTGGACTTTCCTTTCGTTTCCAGGCATATCCGCAACTGAGCGTCCTTTCGGCTTTGGCCCAGCCACTTCATCAGCTCTGGATCTACTTGTACTTGTCCTCCGCTCTTCCCCAGTAGCATGTTGGACACCTTCCGACCTGAGGGGCTCATCTTCCAGCGTCATAACTTTTATATGCCTGTCTTTGTCCATGGAGTTTTCTTGGCAGGGATACTGGAGTGGCTTGCCGGTTCCTGCTCCAGGTGGATCACGTTTGGTCAAAACTCTCCACTATGACCTGTTCATCTTGGGTGCTCTGCTCGGCATAGTTCATAGCTTCTCTGAGTTCTTCAAGCCCCTTCGCCACGGCAAGGCAGTGATCCATGAAGGGGTCTGCCAGAGCATGCAAACCAACAAACATCAAATTTCAGCAGTATACTGTTATTTAATTCCAGTAAACTAATTCTGAAGCCATTAATATTCCCTTCACTCTCTTAAACTCCTGCTTTAGGGGAAAAGAAAAATCTGCTGGTCAAGGTGTCTTTCAGCAGCATATTCTAACAGACAAAGGGGAAATAAATAAGTCGCACTATGGGAGACAAACAATTTTAATGAAATTCAATGACACCACAACACATTTAGGGAGAGCCAAATGACGGCTTGCTTCTCCTTTGCTGACCCATAAAGTATTTCTTGCCTTTATTTCAGCAGGTGATACGCAGGTAACTGAGAAAGAAGGAGAATGTTGTGCGATATCTTCAATGGGGCCTGAGCACAAAGAGATGAACGGGAAGGGTATACAGGAAACTCAGGTGGAAGAGAGACCCTACCCTACGTCCCTTGTTCTGCATGAAAGAAGTCACACGGGAGAGAAGCCCTATAAATGTGAGGTGTGTGATAAAAGCTTCAGGTACAAGCCAAAACTTGCCCTACACTAACTCTAAACCCATGGATTACATAGGGTTGCCATTTCCATATTGTTTTGTCTAGCCCTCAAAAAGGGATTCCACATGTCTTCAGGGTCTGAAGGTCCTGGAGAGCACTGGGGGCGCCCGCCTCAAAATAGCTGCTATGGCGGGTTGGAGAAGCAAGACCCTGGGGGGGGCATTAAGGCTGTGAGCCCCTCCATCGGAGCTCAGGTTGCATAGATGTGTAAATAAACCATTTATTATCAAGATACCACTGTCTCAGCTATCCCTCATTCTGAGGAAACTGAGCCCTCGGTAAGCGCATGGAACCCCTGGGAATACCGCACCACTTGGAGATTGGGTGTGTGTGCAATAAATGGGCACACCTTAAATTTGTGGTGTGAACAAACGCAGCCCTCATTTCTTACTTGCAGAGGGTGAGTGAAAAGATGGTGTGGACTGTTGCTCCCGCTTGAACAAAAGGTTGCTATTGAAAGGATTCCTTTCTGCTGTTTCAGTTGATACCGGAGGAGAAGGAAGAGGAGCCTGCAAATCTCCCTTATGCAGGCCAGGCTCCAGTTTTACTTGAGCAGAGACAGCTGCAGAAGGAAAACAAGGAGAACGAGGAGGGCAGGATTGTAGGCAAGTTCCATCTTCCCCTACCCCTTTGCCCTCCCCCCCCACTTGACTAAAGCCCCCCCATTTATATCTCACCTCTTTGCATATCCCCTCCCCCTGCAGTTCAACCTGTTCCTCATGCTTTGGTTGGCATGGCCACCTACTGGTCACCACATGAACTGCAGAGCGTGATAATACCTTACATTCTTATGTACGGTATCCAGGAAGGCAAGATAATCTGGAATTGTGCCAATGCATTCAGAATACCTGATTATCTTCCATAAGAAAATAAAATCCTGTCTTGGGTTAGACAAGGAAGTGGATCCTAATTGTTCCACTAGAGCACGCAAACCAACAAAAACATCAAACTTCAGCAGTATAAAAAAGGTAAAGGGACCCCTGACCATTAGGTCCAGTCGTGACCGACTCTGGGGTTGCGGCGCTCATCTCGCTTTATTGGCCGAGGGAGCCGGCGTACAGCTTCTGGGTCATGGGGCCAGCTTGACTAAGCCACTTCTGGTGAACCAGAGCAGAGCACGGAAACGCCATTTACCTTCCCGCCAGAGCGGTACCTATTTATCTACTGGCACTTTGGCGTGCTTTCGAACTAGTAGGTTGGCAGGAGCAGGGACTGAGCAACAGGAGCTCACCCCATCGCAGGGATTCAAACCGCTGACCTTCTGATCGGCAAGGCCTAGGCTCTGTGGTTTAACCCACAGTGCCCACCCGCATATACTGTTGTTTAATTCCAGTAAACTACCGGTCATTCTTAAACCATTAATATTCCCTTCAATCTCTTAAGCTCCTGCTTTAGAGGAAAGGAAAGATCTGCTGGGCAAGGTGTCTTTCAGCAGCATATTCTAACAGACATAGGGTTAATAAATAACTTGCACTATGAGAGATAGCCAATTTCAATGAATGAAATGACACATTTAGTGGAGAGCCAACGGAAGCTTTCCTTCTCCTTTGGGGTCCCATCAAGACTTTCTCCCCTTGATTTCAGCAGATGATATGCAGGTAACTGAGAATGAAGGAGAACGTTGTGCAATGTTCTCAATGGGGCCTGAGCACAAAGAGATGAACGAGAATGTTATGCAGAGAACTCAGGTGGAAGAGAGACCCTATCAATGTAGCCGATGTGGAAAAAGCTTCAAACACAAGCCGAACGTTTATGCACACCAAAGAGTTCACACAGGAGAGGCCCCCTATTTATGTATGTGGTGTGGGAAAAGCTATAAGACCAAGACGTCCCTTGTTCTGCATGAAAGAAGTCACACGGGAGAGAAGCCCTACAAATGTGAGGAATGTGGAAGAAGCTTCAGTCGTAAGTCAATCCTTGCCACGCACCAAGTAACCCACACGGAAGAGAAGCCTTATAAATGTTCAGAATGCGGGCAGAGCTTCAGCCAAAAGTTCAACTTGAAAGTACACCAGAGAACCCACACAGGGGAGAGGTCATACAAATGCTCAGAATGTGGCAAGAGTTACCTTACTCAACCCAACCTTACGGTGCATCAAAGAATCCACACGGAAGAGAAGCCTTATAAATGCTCAGAATGTGGGCAGAGCTTCAGTCAAAAGAGCAATTTGAAAGTACACCAGAGAACCCATGAAGTGGAGAAAACATACAAACGCTCAAAATGCGACAATGACTTTACTTCTCCGTTTGATCTCATTAAACATAACAGGATGCACCTTGAAGAAGGACCTCACAAATGCTCAGAATGCGGAGAGAGCTTCAGGTGCAGCACCTCCCTTATGGCACATCAGAGAATTCATAGAGAAGAGGAGCCAGATTTTGGCCTGAGCCATGCTTCTGAACCAAGTCTTGTTGAGCATAATGTAACGCGCCCTGAAAAGAAATGTTTTGTATGTTCCATTTGTTCCAGAACATTTGGGTGCAGCAGAAGCCTTGGGTTACATCAACTGAAGCATAAATAGGAGACATCGCAGAGCTTCTCAGGCTGAAGCAAGACCCTTTTAAAATATCCAATTAATCAGCACAAGACAATTCCCACCAAATAGCCCACAAGTGTGGGGAAATCTTTTATGATAGTGCACTCATTTCACGTCAGTTTAACCGGCACAAGACAGCAATGGAGAGGCAGAGAAATGTTGCAAATGCTTCTGTTTCTCCATTCTTCTACTTCAGTGTATTACTCCAATCACTGGTACTTCTTTTTAAATGCATGTTTTACTTGGCACTTGCTTCAGTAAGTATTTTAATGTGTTTGCTGTGTTCACGAATAAATTTTGTATGTTTTTACCCCTTTTGCTTCTCTTTTTATTACTCTCGCTCCCTGTCAAGGTTGCAGTTTTAAACATACTGTAACAACGTTTATTAAACAGGTTTTCTCATTGCACATGGTTGTAGAACCTCTGGCCTGTGGGCCAATCTGTCTTCCCTATTTCCCTTCTTATTCCCTTCTTATTTTTAATGTTCCTATGTGGAAAATATATGAAAATAAATTTTGGATTTAAATTTTAAAAGAGAACAGGAAGGCTAGGAATCAAAATGCAAGAGGAGAGAGAGGGAATCTTTCTCTCTCAGCTGCCTGGTTGCTGGTCTTCGCTCAGTTTTCCTCCCTGTGAACTTCATTTCCCAGCAGCCTTTGCAAATCCCTCAGAAACAATCAGCAGCTGGCCCCATTTACCTGAGCATGTGCACAGCTGGGGGAGAATAAGTCTGGGATGCAAGAGGCAAGTCATAAATTCAGCACCACCTGTCTAGAGCTCAAGAGAAAATGTCATGGGATCTTGTAGGACAAGCTTAACATAGAGTTCCCATTTCTGCTCTGCTTCCTGGGTGCTGACATCCTAGCTTTTAATCTTCCACCCCCAGAGTGAGTGCTGCATTGGGGCTGGATAGTAGACCCATTTTCCTTTCTACTTTCCAGCCCCAGGAGGAACATGGGGAGAATTCGCACAATATACCTACATACTTCAGCTAACACACTATTGTGTGGCGACACACAGTTTAGAAAACTCTGGGTTAATGTATCTGGGAGTGGGAGGCGGAAGGAGGGCTTTCCCGAGTTTAGTTTCAGTTTCAGTTTCCCTTCTTTCTTGCTTGATCATCTTCCGTAAAGGAGCTTTGGCATTCAATGTTTCCTTATTTGGAGGTGTCCTTGAAGCAGAAATATTAGGTTTGAATACTGCACTGCTGGGGAGCTGGACATCAATGTTCCTGCCAGGAAGCAGCAGCATCCTTAGGAGTAGGTGTACTTTGCCGGTGTAAAAAAAATGACCACATTAATGCCATACTTTTAAAGGTACCTCTTTAAACAGTCCTGGCTTCCTCCAAGCATTCATTTCATTCATTCATTTTACTAACGTATATGCCGCTTGGTACAGCAAAATATTGAAGCAGTTCACACAATGTACAATGATCCCATCTCAAGCCAAAAGCAAGTACAGATTGTCAAAATATAGTAAGAACCAATCAATCAAAACATTAAGACTGGAATAATGCCTGTGTTCTGTTACAATGCTTCTTTAGATAAAGGCATAGGGCCCATATTTAAACCCGTATTTGCGGTTGATCTTAACTACTGCTTGTTCCTTGCAAAATGTATAGAAAAGAATACAGTGGTACCTCGGGTTAAGTACTTAATTCGTTCCGGAGGTCTATCCTTAACCTGAAACTGTTCTTAACCTGAAGCACCACTTTAGCTAATGGGGCCTCCCGCTGCCGCTGGAGCACAATTTCTATTCTCATCCTGAAGCAAAGTTCTTAACCCGAGCTACTATTTCTGGGTTAGCGGAGTCTGTAACCTGAAGCATATGTAAACCGAGGTACCACTGTACATGCACAAATAGATGAGGGTCATGGTGTAGTGTTTGGAGGAAATCTGCTTTGGCCGAAGAGGCCAAAGAAATTGCTACAGCGTCTGTTGCAGAGGTTAAAGAGGTTCAAGGGAAGATACCACCGTTACATAAACAACTTGAAGACCATAGGTTAACCCTGTCTATGATTGAGTTGAAAGAGAAACAAGTGAATTTAAGGGTCAGAGCAGTACCTGAAGTGGAGAAGGACAATTTAGTTGATTTTCTTACGCAGGAATTCTCAGATTTTTGGAATCCAGAATTGGTAAAAGACAGTTTCAAAATAGTGAATGCTTTTAGACTTGGAAAAGCAGGAGGAAAGAAGGTGAGAGACTGTTTGATTACTCTCCGAACAAAAGAAGAGAGGGATAAGATCTTGGGTTTGCATTTCCAGAAGACACTGGAAATACATCAGACAAGAGTGGAGATATTTAAGGACATTCCGAAACACCTTCTGGATCTCAGATCTAACTATAAAGACCTGGTTACTTTGTTGAAAAGTAATAGAATTAACTTCAGGTGGGAATTTCCTCAAGGCCTATCCTTTAGTTACAAAGGAAAGAAGAGGAAAATAAGATCGGAAGACGACAAAGACAAATTCTGGAGAGACCACGGAGAAGACCTACAAAAGAAAGTTACAGGAGAGCTAAGAACAATTGCAAGAGAAGCTTTAGACATACCAGGACTATCTCTGGAACTAAAAGACCGCCTGAAAAACGTGATACCACCGACGGAACAGGAACAGGCACTAGGTGCCGTTGGAGGAGAACCAAAATAATCACATCATGGCCCTGCAACTATTAACCTGGAACTGTCATGGTCTGAATTCCCCTCAGAAAAGGAAATCAGTGTTTCACTTATTAAAAAAGGAACAATTGGACTTGATCTGTCTACAAGAAACACATATAACAAGATTACACAGGAAACTGTTGATAAATAAAAGACTTGGTCAGGAGTTTATTTCATCGGACAAAGTTAAAAAAAGAGGGGTTGTGATTTATGCAAAGGACAGACTATCACCGAAATTTATTTTTAAAGATGACCAAGGAAGATTTGTGGCAATTGAAATTCAAACACAAGGAGAAAAATTTTTGATAGTAGGAATCTACGCACCAAATGATGGGAAATCTGAATTTTTCAAGAAGTTGCATGAGACCCTGATGGAATATTTGGATTACAATATGATTTTGATGGGAGATATGAATGGAGTGGTATCTACATATATGGACAAGGCACAAAGACAGGTAGTCACTAAGGATGGTAGACTACCGAAAACCTTTTTTGACATGACAGACAACTTGGACTTAGTTGATATTTGGAGAATAAGAAACCCCATGGCTAAAGAGGGAACCTTCTTTTCTGAAGCCAAAATGACATGGACAAGAATTGACCAAATTTGGATAACTAGAGGAATGGCACCTAAGACAAGAAAGGTGGAAATCTGCCCGAAAACTTGCTCCGACCATAATGCTGTCAAGATGGAAATGAGATTAACACCAACTGGCTCCTTTAGATGGAAGATGAATGACACCTTATTTAGAGATGAAGAAGTACTTAAGAAGGCCCAAAAAACCTTGAGAGACTATTTTGAGATAAATTTGAGCACCAATGTGGAGAAAAGAGTAATCTGGGATGCAAGTAAAGCGGTCATGAGAGGGTTCCTAATACAACAGAACGCAGTAAAGAAGAGAATTCAAAATGAGAAGAAGGATAAGATATTGGACAAAATAAAGGAAAGTGAAAAAAGACTGAGAGTTAACCCAAAATCTCAAGAGATTTTGAGAGAGTTAAAGTTATATCAAGTACAATATATGAAAATGATGAATCAGGAAATAGAATGGAAAATTAAACAAATGAGACAAAAGACATTTGAGTCGGCTAATAAATGTGGTAAATTGTTGGCATGGCAAATGAAAAAGAGACAAAAACTAAATACAGTCACGAATTTAGAAGTGGAAGGAAGAAATATACAGAACCCCGCAGAGATTAGAAATTGTTTCCAGAGGTACTTTAAACGATTATATACCCAAGGGCCATTGAAAGTAACAGATTTAGATCAATTTTTGAAAACAAATGGATTACAAAAAATATCTCAAGAGAATAAACTAATCTTGAATTACAAAATAACTGAACAGGAAATAGAAGGTGCTATTCAAAATATGCAATTGGGTAAATCTCCAGGACCAGATGGTTTGACTTCTAGATACTATAGATCCTTGAAAGAATGGTTAATACAACCTTTGAAAGAGGTCTGCAATGAAATAATGGAGGGGAAAAGAGCACCAGAGTCGTGGAAAGAAGCATATATTACACTTGCACCGAAAACAGAGACTGAAAAGACACAGCTTAGGAACTACCGCCCTATATCATTACTTAATGTGGATTACAAAATTTTTGCTGACATTTTGGCCAAGAGATTTAAAAAAGTGTTGATGGAAGAGATTCATAAAGACCAAGCGGGCTTTCTCCCAGGAAGACATCTGTCTGACAATTTGAGGAATATAATTGATATTCTGGAAAACTAGAAGTGAATATAAACACTAAAGCAGTTTTGATATTTGTGGACGCGGAGAAAGCCTTTGACAATATTTCATGGAACTTTATGAAGAAGAATCTACAGGGTATGGGGGTAGGCCAAGGCTTTGAGAATGGTATAAGTGCAATTTATTCAGAACAAAAGGCTAAATTAATTGTAAATAATGTGGTGACGGAAGAACTTAAAATTGAAAAAGGGACACGACAAGGTTGCCCAATCTCCCCACTTCTTTTTATTTCGGTCCTGGAGGTTTTGCTGAACATGATTAGAAGGGACCAGTTGGTCAAAGGTATACAGGTCAGAGCTAAACAGTACAAACTGAGAGCATTTGCAGATGATTTAGTATTGACGTTACAGGAGCCAGAATCTAGTACTAAAAGAGTTTTAGAATTGATTCAAGAATTTGGTCAAGTTGCAGGATTTAAATTGAACAAAGTAAAAACTAAGGTTTTAGAGAAAATCTAACATCAATGGAGAAAGAGAGGTTTCAGAATATGACAGGTTTAACAGTGGTTAAGAAAGTGAAATACCTGGGGATCAACATGACAGCAAAAAATGGGAATTTATTTAAAGATAATTATGAAAAATGTTGGTCAGAAGTGAAAAAAGATTTAGAAATTTGGTCAAATTTGAAGCTTTCACTGCTGGGCCGTATTGCTGCGATAAAAATGAATGTATTGCCTAGAATGTTGTTTTTGTTTCAAACTTTGCAAATTGTGGACAAAATGGATTGTTTCAAGAGGTGGCAGAAAGATATTTCTAGATTTGTCTGGCAGGGCAAGAAGCCTAGAATAAAATTTAAAATACTAACGGACGCAAAGGAAAGAGGTGGATTTGCCCTGCCAGACCTCAAGCTTTATTATGAATCAGCAGCTTTTTGCTGGTTGAAAGAATGGCTGCTTCTTGAAAACACTGACATTTTGGATCTAGAAGGTTTTAACAATGTATTTGGATGGCATGCATATCTGTGGTATGATGAGGTAAAAGCACATAAAGCATTTAAAAACCACATTGTCAGGAAAGCGCTGTTTAATGTTTGGATAAGATATAAGGATTTATTAGAAAACAAAACTCCAAGGTGGCTGTCACCAATGGAAGCGAAAGCCTTGAAAAAGCTCAATATGGAGGTCAAATGGCTGAAATATTGGGAAATTTTGGAACAAGATGGAGATAGACTGAAATTGCAGAGCTTTGAAAAACTAAAAACAAAGTGCGAGACTGGCTTCATTATTTTCAGATAATGGAGGCATTTAAATTGGACAAAAATTGGCTTCCAGGTGGAAAAATCAAAATTAGAAACTGAACTGTTAGAACCCAAAACTAAGAATTTGTCAAGAATGTATAACTTGCTGCTGAAATGGAACACTCAGGATGAAACGGTAAAATCTGCTATGATTAAATGGGCACAAGATGTTGGACATAACATTATGTTTGCTGACTGGGAACAGTTATGGACCACAGGTATCAAATTTACGGCATGTAATGCTCTAAGAGAGACTATTATGAAAATGATATACAGGTGGTACATAACCCCAGTCAAGCTTGCAAAAATCTATCATTTGCCCGATAATAAATGTTGGAAATGTAAAGAAACTGAAGGTACATTTTTTCACCTTTGGTGGACGTGCCCAAAGATTAAGGCTTTCTGGGAAATGATATATAATGAATTAAAAAAGGTATTTCAATATGCCTTCTTGAAGAAACCAGAGGCCTTTCTCCTGGGCATAGTCGGCCAAACGGTGTTAAAAAAGGATAGAACTTTCTTTATGTACGCAACAACAGCAGCAAGAATACTCATCGCAAAGTATTGGAAGACACAAGAGCTTCCCACACTGGAGGAATGGCAGATGAAACTGATGGATTATATGGAACTGGCGGAAATGACTGGCAGAATCCGTGACCAGGGAGAAGAGTCGGTGGAGGAAGATTGGAAGAAATTCAAAGATTATCTGCAGAAACATTGCAAAATTAAAGAATGTTAGAGTGATGTTGGATTGAAAATAAGCGGCTTCTAGCTATACAGGCTTTAAAGTTATATATAGATTAAGATTAAGGATTAGGATTTAAAAAGTTAAAGGAAATGGAAATTTGGTTTTAAGAGGTAAAAATTTAATGTTATATTATATTAAGATTAAGGATTGGGATTAAAAAGAGGGAAAGAAACTGCTGGACAAACAAATTGAAATGGAATACAAAAGAAGGAGGTATGAGGAGGTCCAGAAAATAAGTAAATTTAAAAATGGTGATGAAAAGGTGGTATTGTTTTTAACTGTTTTCTTTTTTGTCTTTTGTTTTTTGGTTTTTTTTGGATTATGTATTGTGTATTTTTGAATTGTGTATTTTTCTTTTTTCTTTTTAATTTTTTTATTGATGTGTTCTTTTTATTGGAAATCTTAATAAATATCATTTAAAAAATAAAAAAAACAGAAGGTCAGTGGTTTGAAACCCCGCGACGGGGTGAGCTCCCGTTGCTCGGTCCCTGCTCCTGCCAACCTAGCAGTTTGAAAGCACGTCAAAGTGCAAGTAGATAAATAGGTACTGCTGCAGCGGGAAGGTAAACGGCATTTTCGTGCACTCCTCTGGTTCGCCAGAAGCGGCTTAGTCATGCTGGCCACATGACCCGGAAGCTGTACGCCGGCTCCCTTGGCCAATAAAGCGAGATGAGCGCCGCAACCCCAGAGGTGGTCACGACTGGACCTAATGGTCAGGGGTCCCTGCATTGTAGGGGACAATTCCAGTAAGCTATCGGTAATTCTTAAGCCATTAATATTCCCTTCAATCTCTTAAGCTCCTGCTTTAGAGGAAAGGAAAGATCTGCTGGGCAAAGTGTCTTTCAGCACATTATTTTAACAGATATAGGAGGAAATAAATAAGTCGCACTATGGGAGACAATCAATTTAAATGAATGAAATGACACATTTAGTGGAGAGCCAACGGAAGCTTTCCTCCTCCTTGGGGTCCCATCAAGACGTTCTCCCCTTTATTTCAGCAGATGATATGCAGGTAACTGAGAATGAAGGAGAACATTGTGCGATGTTGTCAGCGGAGCCTGAGCACAAAGAGATGAATGAGAATGTTATACAGGGAACTCAGGTGGAAGAGAGACCCTATCATTGTAGCGAATGTGGGAAAAGCTTCAAACGCAGGTCAAACCTTTATGAACACCAAAGAGTTCACACAGGAGAGGCCCCCTATTTATGTATGTGGTGTGGGAAAAGCTATAAGACCAGCTCATCCCTTATGAGGCATGAAGGAAGTCACACGGAGAGAAGCCCTATAAATGTGAAGAATGTGGAAGAAGCTCGGTCATAAGTCGAACCTTGCCATACACCAAGTAACCCACACTAAAGAGAAGCCTTATAAATGCTCAGAATGCGGGCAGAGCTTCAGTCAAAAGTCCAACTTGAACGTACACCAGAGAACCCACACAGGGAGAGGCCACACAAATGCTCAGAATGTGGCAAGAGTTACATTACCCGATCCAACCTTAGGCTGCATCAAAGAATCCACACGAAAGAGAAGCCTTAAAAATGCTCAAAATGTGGTCAGAGCTTCGATCATAGCACACATCTCAACACACACCAGAGAACCCATGAAGTGGAGAAAACATACAAATGCTCAAAATGCGACAAGGACTTTACTTCTCCGTTTGATCTCATTAAACATAACAGGATGCACATTGAAGAAGGACCTCACAAATGCTCAGAATGCGGAGAGAGCTTCAGGTGCAGCACCTCCCTTATGGCACATCAGAGAATTCATAGAGGAGAGGAGCCAGATTTTGGCCTGAGCCATGCTTCTGAACCAAGTCTTGT